GGGATTCCCCGAGACTCGATTTATTCAGGAAAGGGGGCGATATATTTAGTATCCCCGTGGTATTAAGACAGGCGTTGTCTATCGAATGCTATGTTTCGTTGTGCACTTTCTATTAAAAAAATATCTAAAGTATATTAACTATCCTAATCTTTCGTCTGCAATAAGACCAGTTCCACATGACGCTGATATACCTGTACTTGTTCCACCTAAAGTATTACAGTCTATCGAATCAGAATCTTCAACAGATTCAGAAATTGACATTTTTGAGCCATCTACCTCAGGAACCCGTGAACCTCAGCTATTTTCTCAAGTAGAACTCAATGACTTGGTCAGGGATTTGGAACTTCTAAAAGACCTCTCTGAAGTTTTAGGATCAAGGCTTAAAGAAAAAAATTACTTGCTCGAGGTACTACATTTTATTGGTATAGAAATCGTGAGGCTGTATTTGTCAATTACTTTGCCGCAGCTGGTTCACTTGTATATTGTTAAAATGTATCTGACTTGGTTATTCACCTAGGTGCTCCTGAATACAATCCTGCCGAGTGGAGACTTTTTATAGACTCTTCAAAGAGAAGTCTTAAAGCTGTTATACTTCATAATGGCAATTTATATGCATCTGTTCCTGTTGGTCATTCTACTCAGCTAAAAGAAAATTACGAAAATCTTGAGGTACTATTTTAAGAATAAACTACAGGCAATATAACTGGATTCTATGTGGTGACCTTAAAATTTTAGGGATGCTTTTAGGTCAACAATCCGTAAAATTGGGGCAGATGAAACAATTTGTCAAAGCTCTAGACAAAAATGGTGGTTGCTTTAAGTACTTGTGTGAAACATTTCCGGGTCTCTCTAAAGCTAAATGAAAAGAAGGCGTCTTTATTGGGCCACAAATAAGAAGGTTGATGAAAACTAATGAAATTGAGACGGTTATGCAGGAAGACGAAAAAGAAGCATGGACAGCTTTTAAACAAGTTATAAATAATTTTCTAGGAAACTACAAAGACCCTGAATTTGAAAGTATTGTTAAAAACATGTTGGACAAATTTAGAAAGTTAGACTGTAACATGAGCTTAAAAATTCATTTTTTACATGCTCATCTTGACTATTTTCCGGATAATCTTGGCGATGTCAGTGAAGAGCAAGGGGAGCGCTTTCACCAGGACATAAAAGAGATGGAACGGCGATATCAAGGGCGCTGGGATATCAAAATGATGGCCGACTACTGTTGGATGCTTAAAAAGGACCGTCCTACCGCAGAATATGCACGAAAAACAACAAAAAGAAGCTTTTCCGGAAAGAGAGAAATATTTTTCAAGAAAACAAAGGATTAATGTATGTTATTTTTTAACAACTTCCCCGGTTTTATTGTTTGTTTTCTTGGTTTATTATTTGCTTTTTTATCCTTAGTATCTCTAAATATATTTTTACTTCTTGCATTCTTGTAGTATTTTGTTTAAAAATCTTACGTGATAGAAAAAAACTAAAAGCAGATTTGAACTCATCGTCACTGAAATACCCAATTTCAGTTGAGAAGTTCAATTCACATTTTACAGAGTATTTAAACGCAGGCCTGTGTAATTCTTTAGTACGTTGTCCAGGTCCTTATACATTTGCTCAAGATCTGATGATGCAATGTGTGATAAAAAAAAATCAGCAAACTCAATTAGTAATGGCATCTGCACGATATAAAAAATATTCTCCATTTAACTGATATTAGGGGCCTTCGAGACGCTATTAACTGTTTGTTTTTATTTTCTTTTTTTAATAAAAACAATCTTATCTGAAATATTTCACTTTGTTGATACCCACCTATAGTTCTCAAAACCCCTTCCCATGAAAAATTTCTGCCTACGCCACTGGCTACAAGTTAGCGACCGAAAAATATTTTTTTGACCTAGACATAACCTATCCAAGGAAATACGCATTGGTATATATAATAAATTTGGTCAATAAGTATTCATATTTAACGAGATGATTTATAGGAACACAGTTTATTTTCTAGATTGTTTATATACGTTAAGTCGTTAAATAACAATAAAAATCCAATAAAAACATACAGAAACACTTATTTTAGGAAAATCCGATGCTAAATTATGTCAAAACAATTTTTTTTTTTGTTCTAGACATAATATTGAGACGTTCGTTTTTTTAAATATGTAATAGTTTATTATCTTATCAACTTTTAAAATATACAAAAAAACGGTAGTTGAAAAATTAGGTTGGATTATGTATTAAAAAAATAAATATCTGATTTTTTGTTATGGCAATGTAAATAACTATTTTCCAAGAATTTAGATTTACATTTATCAAGAACTCGTTAATTATCTGGATATTTTCCACCATGATGATTTTCAAAAGACAGCTGTTTTTTTTTTCAAATTCCTTTAGTTTTATTTAATAAAATTACTCCAAGCCACGTTTTCGTGCTACGCTTAGTTATTTAGTTTACCGAGTAGGTATGGCAACAGTGTATAATACCCAAAACTAGCTTAAGGAGGCCTTACACGCTACGATTTTTGTGAGATTTGAACTACAGTCTGTTCGCTATATTTACGCGGGTTTCGTATTAAAAATTTTATGAGTATTTCCAGGTAAGTATCCGAAAGTTTGACCTGTTCTTTGGGGAAATATCAACTGGTTAAATGAAATGAAAAATAATGTACAACTTTTTAATTAAATAATAATGGAGAATCTTTTGTATAATTGAGAGCAGAATTAAACTTCTTCATTAATGGAGTCTAATGTGGCTATTATAAACCTAATAATAATTTTATATTACACTTCACACAGAAAATATGGTCTATGTATAATAAGAGGGTTATTTAGCTCAAATAAAATATTTTCTAACATAAAAATTTGTTCCATGTAGAGAATTTCAAATGAAAAATAAAAAAAAATTGAATTTGCCAACAAAAATCATCCGAAATATCATATCGTCATCATTATCACTGTCATCGCCATTAATTGTTATTATGATTGGACTTATTTCGTTTATTTTATTTTCACGAGTCCACCAATCTTCTATTAGTTTCTCGCACTTAGATATACAGTTCCGTCACACTTCTGGAGTTGCAATTGAAAGTGCTTCTCGCCAAGTTTCCCGAACTGCGTCGTCACTATAACCATTAGGCCCAATATGGTTGTCATAATATTGTTTTGCTATTCTCCATATATATTCGATGGGATCAAACTGGCAATGATACAGTGGCAGACATAAAGCTTGATGACCATAACTTTCAATAATCTGATCCACAACAAAGGTTTTTGGTTTTGCGTGTATATTTGCCAAGCGTAATAATTCTGATTTTAATATATATTGAGGAAATGGTATATGTTCCTTTGTCAACCATTCTTTAATTTTATCAACAGTCCAAGAATTCGTTGGACTTTTGTTTAATACTTCAGAATAGTAAGGTGTATTGTCTAAAATAATTACGCTGGGCTCACTTAAACCTGGGAGAAGTTTCTCATGCAAACATTTCTGTGTTCATATTATCGTGATAGTCACTGGATTTTGATTTAGATGAAAATATTAAATCAGCACCTTCTATAAAACCCGATTTCCCTCCTGCAGGTAAAATTATGTATCGCTTCCCTTCTCCATCGGTATGTTTGATGGACTTTACGTTATCATCTTGCCATATTCTCTTGGTTGCACCCCTAGAAAATATCCATGTTTCGTCTAAATATATAAAATTCGCCCCTTCTTCTTTAAATTTAGAATATTTTCTTAGAAAGTTAATTATCTTGTGCACGACAGAACTTCTTTCACAAAGGGCCTTTCTGTTATCTTCCTTTTGAAATTTGAAACCCAAGTTATGTATCATTTGCCATAGACTTGTTCTGCCAATGTCCTCAAATTTTCTATATATTAATTCCGAGATAATTGTATTTAAGGTCACATGTTCCTTGTTGGCCCTCATTCGATAAATGGTATCACGAATTTCAAATTTCTTTCCATCTGGAATATCTTTCGTTTTCAATGATGGGCGAGTTTTACGGTGATCATCTTTCGGCAGTTCACTGTTGTGATTTTGTAATACTCCTCTTAATTTGGTTTCACTAATTCCTAGAGCATCGCATACGCGTTGTTGTTCAGACATTACCGATTTTAAAGAACCGCCATTTTCGTTTTCATCCGTAAAATACTTATGTACACTACAAATTAGACTATCTACATCTAACACACGTCTAGGCATTTTTAAAATTTCCACTAAATTTACAATATACATACAATTTCAACACTTGCAAAGAATCAATTCAACTGCAATATATATAACAAATTTAGTACCTACCCTAATGTTATTTTAATTTAAATCTGACGATTAGGGCAATTTTACCTAATTTCTTGGGAAGAGGCTTATTGGAACTGGTTGTCAATGACTAATTTGCATAATTTTGTTAACCTGAAACCCGCGTAAGTATAGCGAACAGACTGTACTAAATATGAACTGTTTTTTGGCACGCTCTGCGCATAGGAGAGATGATAGACATTGTACATAAAGTACAGAGATGGATGTTCACTTGCAGTGTCTATATCCTATGACTCGTATACTTTTTTCCTAATCTGTAAATTGATCTACGTTAATTTGGTTTAAATTTAAATAATTAATATTACTACTAATACTTATTGATTCTATTACATTAAATTGTACACTAATGAGAGGACCATCAATAAAAATTATTATAAAATAATTTTTGCCTTTAAAAAATAAAAAGTATTTTTATAAAAAATACAATTGAAAATAATGTTATCGCTTAAATGGCGTTGGATCCATTTAAAAATTTGGTAACTGATTTATAGAAAACTTATCTATTAGAAAATTCACAACATAATATATATATTCTACAGATTTTCCCTTTTTAATCCCAATCATTCATTGCTGCCGGTGTATAGATAGTTTGAAAAGCAATAAATTGTACAATTTTTTTTTTTTTTGTAAACTAAGAAGCTTACCCTCGTATTATGTTAATGTTAAGAATATATCAATATTTATTACCTTTGAAGTAAGTGCGGTTAGTGCTGGTGAGCCACCTTCGTTAGTTGTGCTTTGAACGAAAGCAAATAGGGCATTCAAATCGGTACCTATTTTTCTGATTTCGGACGTGACCATTTGAGTGTTCATGGTGGTCTTTTCGAATAGAGATATTATATTTTGGTTGGCTTGAAATAAATTCCGATTTATTCTGTTATCGTGACTTTTGAGGTTTTTCTCGAAATTCTTGATGTCCTTCACTTCGGATGCGAACCTTTAATGTAAAAAAATCGTTAATAGTCTTTAAAAGGTATGGAGAAATTTTGTGAAAACAAAATCTACAGTTACTCCGGAGAATGTGGCCACCGTTGAAAAATAATGACAGTCATAGTTCATACGTAATTATAATGAATACTTTAGGCATTCATGAAATTATTCATAAATATTTAAACTGTTCACTATGGGTTCCGTACTACTGACAGATGACTAACTAAAAGAATAGCGAGTACTGTTACAAAGAATGCTAGCATGATATAAAAAATAAACTATACTATTAAGATATACCTTCAAAGTCCAAATCAAAAGTTTTGCTATTCAAAACTGAAAAGGCGTCAATAAAAATGAACAATTACTGACCAATGTTACATTGCAAATTGTCTGCCACAGTGTAGTACCTTACAAGTACTATATTCTATCTCCTTACCTTGACACACATACGTCAACAACTGTCATTCTTAAGTCAGTCTCTGTCACTCTTTCGTTAAACATTATTTCGATGAAACTAGTAACCTTACATTCTGTGGTAGTCTTAGTGAAAGGCAAAGGTTAAGCTCACTTCTCCTATAACTATCTGACAGCCTTGGTCCCTGGAGTCGATTTATTTATATTGACGATTGTCATTACTATTTTTGGTATACTGAATGTACACATCCTTTTACATCTCTGATATTTTTAATGATCGACAAATTATCTAATCTTGACATAAAGAAAGGTACATCCTACTCAAAAATTGCAGCTTCGTATTGTCTCGCCCTCTCTTCTATATTTTCAATAAATCTATCGCCACGGGTGAGTTTCCAGATTATTGGAAACTATCTTATGTCACCCCAATATACAAATCGGGTAGTAAGTCAGACGTCAAAAATTACCGACCCATATCTATTCTCAGTACTATACGTAAGGTTTTTGAGAACATTATAACAGACTACCTTATCTATGACTGCTCTGGCATCATAACGAATCATCAATATGGTTTTTGCACTGACTTTTCTAAGGCTTTTGACAGGGTCAACCATTCTCTCTTACTTCAAAGGCTCGAAAAAATGGCATAAATGGGGTCGTACTACAATGACTTAGTAGCTTTTTTACGAACAGAACTCAAATGGTTAGAGTAAACCATCATTATTCTAACTCATTTCAAGTTACCTCAGGTGTTCCTCAAGGATCACACTTTGGTCTCTTATTATTCAACTTATTTATAAATGACATCATTCATTCTTTTCAGTATGGCAAAGCACTATTGGTTGCAGATGATTTAAAAGTTTTCCTAATTATTAAAACCATTTATGATGTTCTCTGGCTTCAGTCTAACCTTGATAATCTATGAAACTGATGTTCCTTTAATGGCATGGACTTGAATGCCATAAAGTGCCATGTCATGCGCTTTTATCGATCCCATGTACCAACTACTACTTTTGATTATAACTTAAATGGTCATATTTTAGAGTCTTGTTGATAAGTTCCGGGATAGTAACTCACGCGGATAAAGCACAGAGGCGTACACTTATTATTAATTGGGTCCTCAACAATGGGATCAAAACAGAAGCATATTATGAATTATTTCAATATCATTTATACTGATTTCAATTTTTTATACGTTTATCAAAAAACAGTAAACAAATATCTAAACCTTGTAAATACATAAATTTATTATTAATTAGTTAATTATAAAAATATTGTTGACTAATTATCTCTGTAAGGTATAAATAGTACAGAAATATTCAAATTGAATGTGTATTAAAGTTAGCCTAAGTAAGTTAATATCAAAATTAAAAAACTGGACATTTCATCATTTTATATCATAATAATAATATTGATTTGGCTATTTTTTGTTTTCTAACGGTGATGACACGTTTTTTACTTTTCATTTCATTTTATTTTTTTCTCAAACTATGGTAAAATATTCACAGATAATGTTCGCTATTTTCACTGTAATCTGATTCATTGTAAAAGCGAGTGATTCATTTTTCACAATAGGAATATTTCTTTGACACATTCTTTTCTGTTATTTTTGTTTTTATCTGGTCATACAACTTTTACATTTTCTCAATCGATTAGGCACTGATGGGTATGTGTTATTGGCCAACATGTGGGAATCGTTGGATAGGTAAAGTTATAAGGAATTTTTTGCTAAAATAATATACAGGGTGTTGAATTTGAAAAAATTGAGTAAATTGAACTTAAAAGTAGTCATATTTAAGACATGTTTCAAACCACTCCGTATCACCACCATTCGTTAGCTTAGTATCTTATAAGTCTGTATATTAAACAATTTTGAAATCAATGTTAACCTACCTAAATTATGATAATTCAATTTGGGGTCTGCATCATTCTCTAATTTCAAAAAAAATTAATTGCTTGGCAACACCATAATATTACCAAAAGGAAACAAAAAGTTCAATATCCTTTTCTATTTTTAAATCTTACAAAAAATGGTTGTAGGACCAAAAATTAAATTTCAGTTTTTTACCAGTACTTAATTTTATGACTTACTTTTTTTCAAGCATATCTATTAGTTTATTCAACATAACGCTAATTTCGGATTCTATTTGTGACTCGTCCATCTGCAGCCGATGACAGCTTTCCAAAAATACTTCTTGGTTCGTTAAAATTTTGTCAAAGTTTGTGCTCATTTTTTGCTCTATCTCCTTATAATCGCTACCTAAAAGAAACGAATATCAGTAGTTATTTTATATATAGTAAACAATCGATTTTAAAGTTCTGAAAACGAGGATGTTAAATTCCTTGAGAGTCCTTAAATAAATCCCAAAATTACCCCTACGAAATAATGAACATTATTTTTGAACCCTCAAAGTAAAAACAAATTTAAATAAAAATTGAAAAAATTCTATCCACCAGGGGATTCGAACCAATCTATTTGTGTTCTACGAGCACCGCTTGAACCAATTGAGCTATCAGTTACCGACATCCAGATTGTTTAAATTTTCAATTTTTTAACAAACTGCTTCAAAATATTGTATTTATTTAAATAATTTGGATTTTGGTAACTTATGTCTCGTTCCGATAGCTTAGTTGGTTAAAGCGGTGTGCGTAGAGCACGAATAAGTGGGTTCGAATCCCCGTGGGCAAAATTTTATCAATTTTTCATTAAATTTGTTTCCACTTTAGGGGTTCAAAAATTTTCATTATTTTGTAGGGTTATTTTTGGAATTTAGTGGTTATTTTATAGTAAATAAATTATAAAGTCGACATTTTAAAAATGTGTATTAGCTTTTAAACTACAAGGTAGATTTCCATTTTGTTTAATGCTTATTATGTCATGTTCTAAATGTCCAATAACCAATTGACTAGTGGATCCAGAATATTGAAGCTTTATACTTTTTTGTCAACTATTCAAAATATACCAAAAATTAATTTTAAGAAAACTGTTTTTTAATTTGCTGGTAACAAATCTAAACACACAGTATAGCTTTTTCTGGTATTTCTGGGGTGTAATACACATTTCGGAATCACTACTAACTTTATCAGCCATAATTTAAATATTTTAATTAAATTAGGAAATAAATTAAATGTAAATGACACTATTATGGAATTCTTGAATGTGACAGTTAACCTCATAAAAGTCAGTGGTATTATAACTATGTTAAATTGTTATAGTATCTGTAGTAGAATTTTGAAGTTTACGTAGGGTAGGTATTTAAAAGAGGAGCTCAAATGATTTCTTACGTTGATTTTTTTAAAAAATAAATAAACTTTAATTCGTCCTACTGTAAATTTATCAAACTGTCTCTTATGACCATCGATATTATTTATACAAAAATAAATCAATCCAAAAAATGAATATTTTCAAAGTCTAATTTAATAATAGGTACATTTGCCACAATAAAAAAATATTGTTTCATTGTTTACCTTCATTTTCATGAGCTAAAAATGTATGACTTCAGCCTTTAGTGCCATTGGTCACGTAAGGTACAACATAAATTATCCATAAACCTGGGCGTACGTACTATTAAACGCCAGTTTAAATTGTAATATTATTTTACAATCGGTATTTGTGATTTACTTACCAGAAGTAACGTCGTTTTCTTTCTGTGACAGTTTTCCTATTTGTATCATTAAAGATCTTACTCCATTTTGTAATTCGCTTTTGGTACTGTTAACAACGGAACCTATATTTTTTAAATCGTCTTCAGTTGTGTCGGTGTTCTTCCACATGTCCGAATTCATATCTGCCACCTGAAATAAGAACGGCACTATAATAAGTAGTCAAAACATTTAGTGACGAAGTCACTGAATTTTATTTTTAATTAATTATAAAAATTATATTTTAATTAATTTGCGCCTGGGAACGTTCTAGAAATTCTTGTTTTTAAACATTTGCGAGAGCCCTCGTAGTTTAAAATATATCCGTATTTACCGAAATTCGAATTCTGATTTGAACATAAAATTTCATGTAAATTATCTAGGTATATTCAGCAGGTGTCAAAATTGGGTTTTTATTTCTCCACAAATAAAAATTAAAACTGGAGATAGTTTCTCCCACTCCGAATTACTCGGAAATCGAACCCATCTAGTTGTAAGATATAAATACAAGATCCCAAAGAATTTCCCCATCTTTTGCTGCTCCCGCTGAACTAGTTCGAACGCGTTCCGTGTTTTGCATCCGTTTCAATACTTAATTCCGAGGTAGCTGTTTTTTATTCATGATTAAAACTTTTCTCTTTTTTTCCCGTTGGTCTGTAATTCAACTAGTACTTATTACCAACAAGTTTATTAAAAATTATCGTGAAATAATCTTGTCGAATTTCCAAAATTGACCCTACAAGAGGAGCACCCACGTAGAGTTCGACAAAAAACCATCGTCAAGCCATAATTTATCTAGTACATATTGAAAACAAGTTTATTAAAAGTTATCGTGAAATCTTTTCGAATTTCTACAATCGAAATCTACTGAGGAGCTCCCAGGTAGCGATCGACAAGGGAACTTCGTCAAGCCGTAATTCAATTGGCGCTTATTATCAAAAATGTTCTTTTTATCGCGGGCAGGTACCGTTCGTCGAGAGTGCCACTCCACCACAGCCAACACGCGTACAGAGCAGGAAGATATACAGAAACTGCCCTGGTACAGTTGACTGACGTAATCCAGTGAGCACTGACAAACAAAGAAACGGTCGTGTGCCTTCCTAGACATAGAAGGAGCTTTTGACAACACACCACACGAATCTGTAAAAAGAGTACTTGCATACAGAGGAGTTGATAACATCACATCCAGATGGATAGCTCAGCTACGAGAACTGCAGAGACACAGATAGGGCAGGACACCATCTCCATCTGCACAACCAAAGGATGTCCACAAGAAGGAGTTATATCCCCACTAATGTGGAGCCTAACCGTAGACGAGGGTCTATGCAGATTGTCTGACCTCGGCATACCCTGTCAAGGTTATGCCGACGACATAATCATATTTGTTAGTGGCAAGTTTAGTAATATCCTGTGTGATACAGTCCAACGAGGATTAGAACATACCAAAAGATGGTGCCGTGAAGTGGGACTTAGTATAAACCCTACAAAAACAACACTAGTAGTCTTTTCAAGGAAAAGAAAACTTAATCTCAAAACCGTTAAATTAGACGGGTCACACATGAGAAGGAAGTAGTAAATAAGGCCACAAAAGCAGAAACATTACAGGTAAACGATGGGGATGTAACCCAAACATACTGCGATGGATGTATACTGCAATAGTGAGACCAATCATCACTTACGGGGCTATAGCCTGGAGTAACAGAACTAGTTTAGCTACTACGAGAGCTAATATCTCAAAAGTACACAAACACCAGCCTGTGTTTGCATTACTGGTGCAATGAGAACCTGTCCTACGGCCGCAATGGAGGTGATCTTAAACCTCACCCTTCTACATTTTATGATAGAGAATGTGGCAAAAAGGACAAGATATAGAATGATCAGGAACGGAGTAATCAGACGAAAGTTTACTTGTTTCAGGACTAAAGATACCTGGGACGTGCCCCAGGATGAAATGCTAAAGAAGTACAGTTACTCTCACTTGGGTCCCGGGACATAACGGGGTACAGGGTAACGAGATTGTAGATAGTTTTGCAAGGAAAAGGGCTCAAACACCCTTTGTAGAACCTGAGCCGTTCTGCGGTATCAGCAGTAACATAATATTAGGGGAGATTAAAAAAGAATTGGGCAGTAGAAGAACTGATAATTGGAACAATCTCTTGGGGCTGAGACAGGCCAAGATACTTCTGGGTGAATATAACCAGAAAAGATCGGAAGCCTGCATCTGCCTGAGCAAGAACACGCTACGCATTGTAACAGGGATCCTTACCGGGCATTGCAGTAAACTGAGAGTAGTAGAGGATAGTGAATGCAGATTCTGTGAGGAGGAGGACGAAACCTCCATTCACATCCTAACTGAGCACTCATTTCCTTAGTGCATTGGCGACAGAAGGGGGCACAATAGATCTTTTAGGTCGCAGTGTATTAACACCCCATTCCCAACGTAACATATCCGTTCGTCGAAAATCCCAGTCGAATAATCATTTGTGCTCAACTGTCCGAAATCTAGAGGCACTGATTTGCGATTCCATGTTAAACTGATAAATGCGTCCTGTTTCCTGAACAACGTACTAACAGAATTTTTCTATTTTTTTTTTTTTTCAATTAATATAATTAAATGCTCATTTTCTACTATACAGGGAGTGCTGTAATTGCCGCTTTATTCACTCCTGATATATTCTTCGAGCATATATTACTAGAGCCATCGTCCAAATGGACTTTATTTTGGTACAGGGGGAAAAATAGTGTCTAGCATTCCCATTGGTCTGTTTCATTTTGCTTGGCATGTCAAATCGTTCGAAATTGTCAGAACTCTCATTTGATTTTCATTAATTTCTAGCTTATTTTTGTAGTTTATAAGTGATTTTTTGTATTTTATTACTTTACTGATACAAATTTTAACAATGGTGAGAGTTTGTGTAATAGAAATAAGAAAATGCACCGTCAAAGGTATTTCACAAGTAAGTAACCATTAGCGTCTCTACCATTTTTTTAAAAGAAACATAGTACCTACATTTTATGCAAAAGGCTGTTAAACATGAATTTAAAATAAATAGTAAATTTAGTAATAACATCAACTTACATGTAATACAATAACACAACATAAAAGAATTGGCATGGTCAAATGCATTGCTGTGAAGGTTTTAGACGGACATAAAGTAAAAACGAGAAAAAATATCAGTATATAAGAAGACACTGTTGATAAAACTTAAAATAAGGCCCAATTAACAATTTTGTCTTTATATTTTAACATAACAATTATTACCTTATTTGCATAGCTGTTAAAATCTTCTTTTAGTTCAACCTTCATCTGTTTTAATATTATATTAGTATCTTCGGTTATCTTCATTTGTTGTGTAGTTCTGTTGTCGGAATATTGGAGAATTCCTACTATGTTATCGTGCAATTTGTTCATTGATTTTCGATTGTCTGCGTTATACTTCGTCAATAAAGTGAAGGTATGTTTAGAGACCTGTAATAAATAAACGTTTGTCATTATTTAAATTTGGAAAAGTAAAATAAAATTTATTACGTTCAAATTATCCTGTGTTATATTCGAAACTTTTTGTTCGGTAGTTTTATAGGTTTTTTTAAGATCGTCTATAGCCGAGATTACGGCCGACAGTTCCGTTTCTAAGTCAGAATCCCGTTTGGTTGTGCCTTTTTCCATTTGATCCAGATATGCAAACGTGCTTTCCACTTTTTCCTGCAAAGAAAAAAAAATACTGAAGTTGTACCTCTATTAAACGTAAGATGAATGAATCGTATATACTACTATTGATTTATAATAATTTATTTGGATGATGAAAGTAAGTATTAGAAACTTTTGGTGTGGGACAGTTGGATGATGAACATTTCTGTCTAGTCATAGTCAAGTATTTGTTCTCAGAGTAACCTAAAAAAGCTCCCTGGCAACTCTGCAGCTTCCTATTTCATCCCACTTTTCCTTCAATTTTACAAGAGAATGTTCTTTAATTAGGTTTGTCACTTCGAATGATCCAATTGTCCCGTACCTACAGTTAATACATGTACATTTCACCCTTAAACACTCTGTATAAATGAATATATTAATATGATCTATATAAGGAACACTTACTTGAATTTTCGCATTATTGGTCTCCAATTTTCTCTCTATATAATTAAATCTGTGCATGATACTTTCGTATATAGAATCGAGTTTTCGCACTGTCTCCGTTTTGGTAATATCATCTTTGAAATTTTTTGTGCTAATATTTTCCGATATTTTCGCTAAATTCATCATTACTATTGACTCAAGCCTCATCACTTTACTCTCTAAATTTTCCAGTTTTCTGTTGTATTGGTCCAGCTTAGATTCTATGTTTTGCGATAATTGCATGGAATAAATGTTGTCTAAATTTCTTAATCGTTCTTCTATGGAACTGAGGATTGAGATGGTGTTCTAAAATAAAAATAAAATTTAATTATATAAAAAAATATAAGATACTGAAATCCGACAACCGGGGGTTGATAATTAATTTAAATAATTCTTATATATTACATATTATATTCAAATTTTATTTCGAATTCAAACAACATCCCAGCATCCCGCCTCGTAGGCGCCGTTTAAATTACTTCTGGGAAAAACAGTCTTTGTGTCGTTTCTCACGAACGCTAGCTAAAAAAACATATGTCACCGGTAGGGTTATATTCAGGAATTAATACAGGGCTTTATAGTCTTTATACGCCAAACCAACAGTCGGTCTCTGTCTGATACATTTGCTTATATGGGAAATTTAAGTATAAATACCCGGGTTTTTGTGGGTTGGTAGAACATTAGCTTTTTCTTCTTCACCGAGTCGAGTTAACAAAAAACGCAAATATCCAGGTTACCGTTACGGTGACTCCTTTTTCTTTATATTCTTCAAATATAATTAAAAAGAGATATCGCTACCCTTACGGTGGCCGCGCTTTTGTTATACCCTTACGGTGGCCGCGCTTCTGTTATATATTTTGACGACGGAAATAAAAGATATCGACGGAGTAGAGAAATTAGTTTCTATAAACGACGGCTTCTGCATAGATATCCAGTTATCCTTAGGATGACCACCTTTTTCTTATATTCTATATATAAGTAAAAGGAGATATATAGTCAGTTTGACCAAGCAGATACACGTTGAGTAGAAGCAGATTTCGTTCCTAGAACTGTTTTGTAAAGTTGTATCTACCAAGCGACTAAGATATTGGCGTAACTGATACTAGTGATACCACGCTAGTCTAGTTAAACGCCAGATATTTTGTATCTCCGATTCAACGTTATAAAATGTTACTAAATGATTAAAAGTACTACTCTATAGGCGACGTTCGTAGTGGATTTCGTCACCCTTCTGGCTGACCCGACGAACTTGCGCCAGGTAGACACTTTTATCAGCGGTATACTTTTCTTTCTGTAAGGTTTCTTTTACGTAGAATTAAAACGATAATCGCACTATTAAAGTAATCAAACTAGTAATTAATATTCAGATATTCCGGAGGAGAATTTAGACAAACATTAATAGGTTACAGGTATCACTTTATTTACTTTTATATTCATTAGCGGGAACATTCGCGTCTGTGTGTTATTGTCATATTTTTGGTATTCATTGGTAAACGTTTATTGTGGGAAAAATTATAGGGTTTTTATATTGTGCTAAATTATGTTATTTAGAGAAGCGATAGTGATGTTGTCATAAATATTAATTGTTGTAAAGTCGGTCAATGCCCTCCAGTAATAAATTAAGTCATTTAGATTTATGGCCAAAGGGCCAAATTGTAAAGTTTCGGTTGTCTGTAAGCAGTACCTGCCCCTTTCAGTAAAGATAAAAAGCACTTTCGGTTTTACTTTTAAATGGCAAACAGATGTAGATTAGCAGGGTAAATGCCTGGATTTGTATATATTTTAAAGTTAGTTTGCTGTTTAAAAAATACGTTTTCTGTCGTTCTTTGTAAAACAAAATTGGGTAGACAAATGTGTCATTTTAGCCGTACGGAATTTTAGTTTTGTGTATCGAATTTTCGGGAAAAAGGAGATATGTACAGCGGCGGGTAGAATCATGAATATTGAGGAGGGTCGTATTTATTTGTACATATCCACATATCTTTAGCGGGACATTACGCGGAAGTAGTCGGTATGTTTGTTATTTATTTAGAATAAATAGGTGAAATTGTGTTTGTGGACTAGCTAACGTATCCTCAGAACTGTGATTAATAACACTGATTTGTCAATCGACAGAGCAAAAGAGCATCGTGCCGAAAAAGACGCCTTAGGCCACCATAGACCGCCAGCGACCTCAATAGTAAGGGCCTAAAAATGGTATTTCCCTTGCGGCTATGTAAATTAAAGCCTGATAGAGGCTTGGATGGATCTCTACTGAGATACCCCAAAAGTGGGCCTGACGGGCATCCCCCTTTATATCAGGTGTTCTCCGATCGACCGTTTAGTATTGTCCATACAGGACTGAGTATGTCGTTAAATTACGGCGTTGGAATATTAGAGAAAGGCGTGACGCACGGTGAGGTAAATCTACACTCCGGTTTTTACACATATTAGAAATATTAAATTTAACCGACTTCAAAAAGGAAGAGGTTCTCAATTCGACGCAATATTTTATATTTCACAACACTCCTCGTGCTACCGTTGTACTCTCTTTTATTAGACAATGCGTAATCCAGTAGTTCCGTGGAAACGTGTGAGTGTATATTAGGAGACAAACAAGCATACCAAAGTACTTTCGACTTTTATTTTACCCTTTTATGGGAACTAAAAGCTCTGAGGTTAGAAATGACACATTAGAAAGCCTACATAAACATAATGTTAAGCCTAAAAATGGCACATAATCTAAATTTTCGGCTGTATAAAAGAATAGATGTTAAATAAACAGTATTCAAAATTAATCTCGGTGTTTCCTTTGTTCTTCCTCCATTACAGCTACATTGAACTCTAAACGTAATGGGCCATGTTCACATGTGAGATATGCTGTTTTATAAATTATATTGTAATAGTTAGTCGCTATACAAGTTATTCTAAATAGTCAGTTCGTTAAAAAAGCCAAAAGTTTTTAAATTAAGCCCAATTGAAATTTAAAATTTGAAATTATACGTCATCAGGAATAGACCAATCATCTTGTGTCGAAGTTTTTTTTGTTATACAAAACCAAGCCAACGAACAAACCGACACACAGAATGTCGAAGTGAACGCACATCTAAGTGACATTAAAATTGACACCACCTAACACCTAACCTTAGTTTTTTGTTTTGGTTTAATTTTATTATTAATATGAATTAGCTGGATTTATAAAAGTTGAATCAAGTGTTTTACCCATTGTAAACGAAAATATGATTACCGAGATGATTACTGCATTTTTTAACAATACTCAGTTTACAAAAGTCAGAAAGGTAAGACTTTGTTTTAATAGTAGGTAGTTACAGTTTATATGGAGAAATACACCTTATAGTAAACATATTTATCTCAGGTTTTATTTTTAGATCTGCCAAGCAAGAATATGGGGATAATTTCTTTTTCCATAAGAGAGAAGGAGACAAATTACACCTAAACATAAAGTACGGCAAAAACCTTCTGATGTGGTTGTTGTAATTAACAAAAATGACATTTTTAGTGCACAATGCTTAGGATATGCTGCATGTCAAGGTTTGTAATATTTATTATACTTTTTTGTTTTTATATTATATATAATAAACAGTGTATAAGGCCCTTTATTCCTATAAATATTTTTTTTCTAATTTTGACATAGACATTTTTTGTAATCGCAGCAAGTGTTAAAATAATCTAGAAATAGATTTTGTTAGTGAACCTAGTAATAATTATGATACCAAAGAATGCTGCAGAGCACCTATGAAATTTTGAGTTAAAAAATATGTCATATTTTTAGGCTATTTTTATACCCTTTTCAAAAATTTTATGCTCCTCGTTTTTTGCAAAACTTAAAATGCTCTATAGCTTCGAACGAAGTCAGCAAAGCACCTCTGTTTTATAAAGTTTTTTCTGTAAAAACAGCAACACCATATATTTATGCACTTGAAATATTATATTTTTAAAAAATACATGGTGCTTGCTAACCTTCGAAAGAAGCCAGCAGAGCAATTCGGTTTTTTAAAGCTTTTTTCTAAAAACCACACCCCATTTTTAGAATATTTTTAGACTCTTGAAATATTGTAAAACTTTACTAAAAAAATTGCTATTTTTAAATAATACAGGGTGCTTTGTTGGAACAAAGTCAGCAGGACACTTCAGTTTTTTAATTTGTTTTTTTTATATATAAAAACAACTACTTATGACACACGTTTAGGCTGTTTTAAAATCCTAAAAATGTGGTAAGTACATTTGTTTTCAGAAAAAAACTTTGAAGTCAGCAAGGAATTGCGATTTTTTTTAAAATGCCAAATTTCGAATATTTTATAATATTGTAGGAGCCAAAAAACGTGGTGTGGTTTAAAAAAAAACTGGGGTGCTCTGCTGGATTCGTTTGAAGCTAACAAAGCATCCCGTAATTTTTTATTTTATAATACTCAATAGCCTAAAATGAGACATAGCTGTTTAAACAAAAAATTGTATTTTTAAAAATAGCAGTTTTTTTCGAAAAGCTCTATAATATTTCGAAAATGTGAAAATGTGGTGAGATTGTTTTTTTTTTTAAGTTTTGAAAATTCGAGGTTCTTTACTGGATTCGTTCAGAGCTAGTAAAGCTCTGCTCGTCTTGTTACATAAAATAAAGGCATTTTGTAGCTGGTTATATAGTTATTTTGTAACTGCATATCTAACCCTTTTATTTTTTTCAGGTGGTTGTAAATATGTGGCTTCATAGAAGAAGTGAGGAACCATCTGTAACATCTACTCAGTGTTATTGGAAAGGCTCTAATTTATCAAAATGCGTAAATATTGATGTACACTTGGCTAGATTGTTAAAGAAACCTCTTCATCCACTACAGGAAAATAAATCAGTACTTTTATATTCTTAGGATTTGTATGTATATTTTTTATTTGTAAATAAATTGTTTTTTACTTCATTTTTCTCATTTTTTATTAAAAGGTTAATAAATGAAATTTTCACAGATTTTTATATTTTTGTTTGTAAACAATAATTGAAGAGTTTTTATTAAAAATCACCAATGTTAATAATAATAACTTAAGTCAATATTATTCCTTCTCCTTTTTTAAAGCTACTATCAATAAAGGTATTACTTTAGCTTGACCTATGATCAATTTTTAATTTTGTGATATATTTGGTTCGACAGAAAAAAAATTATAACCCTTTGACATTGGTTGTTTTTACTTAGATTTTCATAAAAAATAAACGGAACTGCAAACATGTTTTACTATCCTAATAACGAATAGCAACATTAAATTTTTTTTTCACATTTATCACTGTTGTCATTTTCATAAAGGATTGATAAGAAGGCACACTT